CATACATCAAAGCAGAGAGGAGAACTACTAGTACAAATTTAAGGATCAACCTTAGGTACCAATTCAATGATTCAGAACGCAAATAAATACTCAATCAACATCAACCAACAGAACATTATTTCAAAAAACGGAACATTATTTCAGTAAAACAAGAAAATTTACCTTAGCCCATCTTTCAAACAAAGTACGATCACCCGTGACCATTTTCAAAGTTTCATCCGACTCATCCCAGCCGAAACCACTACCTTTATGCTTGATATTCAACAATTCATTAAACCTTTTCTTCAAATAAGATAGCCTTGAATCAATGTTTGATGCTTTTAATCCTGCTTCAGGCATCTTCTCACCAAATAGCTACTCTAAATGGTTGTGCAACAAGCTAGGAAGTATACAAAGATTACAAACTTGTAAAATATTGACTAAAACAACGATATAAAGGGGGCGCGGATTGTACGTACTCGATCGCTAGCTCTTTTGATAACAGAAATATAAGTGCTTGTTTGGTGCAAATACTTAGAGCCTGCACTATTCACCTTATTTTCATTTATTTCAGGTTTAATAAGTTTAGATAGGTTCAGATAAGTTCAGTTCAAGAAAAATATGTTCAAATAAGTTAAGTTCAGGAAAAAAAAAAAGTTTTGATAAGGGTTACCCAAGTTCAAATTACAACTAAAATAAGTTTTAATAAGTTCAGATAATAAGTTAAGTTAAGTTAAGATAAGATTAGATTATAGAGAAGAGATTAGGAGAAGTTGTTGTATTATTGATTTACTCATGAAGATTTATACTGTTACAATGAGGCTTAAGTTATACAATCAAATCCCTACAATTATGGAAGATAAAATCATAAATAGCTTACAGCTAGAAGATTGAATAATATCCCTAAATGAAGTCTAGAACATACAATCATACAAAAAATCCATTTGCACCCAACTACATTTTGTGAAGGAGAGGAAGGAACAAGTGACGAAGTTTTATTTTTTACCAAAGCACTGATTTCTTCACCATTACTTTCCGTCAAACTGGACTCTTGAGAGCTTGAGTGATGTTATTAGGTACCTCAACCTCATAAACTTCTACATGTAGGTTCAACTTGTTAATTGGTTCCTAATGCCATGTTGAAGTCGGGTAGTCATTGTGGGGATAAGGAATCAGTTTGGTTTTGATTTTGTGGAGATGATGTGGTGGAGTCGGTTGTGTTTGGAGTAGGAGATGATGTGATGGATTCGGAAGCGTTTGGAGTAGGAGGTGGGATGTGTTGTGTTTCTGGTGATGCAGCAGAACAAGTAGGTGGAGTGGATGTGTTTGATGAGGGGAATGCGACAAAATAGGGTGAGTTAGAGGGGCCCGTTCATCAATTAAGGTTGATAAGGAAGGCAGTTTGATATTTTTCTCACAGAAGGGAAAAGACTCTAATTCTAGACAATAATATGCACTTTGTGTTGGTGAATATCCTATAAATATACACGGTTTTGATTTTGGTTCCAATTTATGGGAATTATAAGGTTTGAGCCAAGGCTAACAAAGACACCCAAAGCTCTTTATTTTATTGTAGTTGGGTTGAATGCCAAATAATTTTGAATTGAGTGAGACATTATTTAGAGTCGGAGTTGGTAAGCGGTTGATGAGATAGACGGCAGTGGAGCAAGCATGGGTCCAATATTCTAGTGGCATATTGGCATAAGTTAGTAAAGATAGAAAAATTTCAACAATGTGTCTATGACGACGTTTCGAATAGCCATTGTGTTGAGGTGTGTGCGGAAGAGTAGTTAGATGGGATATTCCATCGATGGACAAAAAATTGTGGAGGGATTCATACTCGCCTCCATTGTTCGAGTAGAGAGTTTTGAGGGGTAATTGAAAATATGAATATATTTTTAGTGTCTGATTTTTTTTTAAGGTTATATAACCAGATATATTTTGTGTAATGATCAATAAATATTAGAAAGTATTTGAAACCATCATGAGAATAAATTGGAGATGTCCACAGGTCAGTATAGACATACTCAAGGGGAGCAGTAGACTTAATAGAAGAAATAGAAAATGGAAGACGATGACTTTTATTGCAAGCACATGCATTGCAATCTAGAGTAGAAATACTAGAAACATTGAGTTTATTTTTTGAGATAAGTTGTCGAAAAATATTTTGAGACGAATGCCCTAAACGATGATGTCAATCAAGAGAAGTGGATTTTGTGTTTGTGTAGACTCTAGGATAATGAGGTTGAATTTCATAGATGCCCATCTGTTGTGAGATCCTTTATGAGAAAAGAATTTGAGAGATATTGTTATCTTGACATAGTTGAGAAACAGAAATTATATTTTTAGACATGGCGGGGACAACAAGAACATTATTAAGTTTAAGAGAATTTGAGAAAGAAATAGAGCCAAAGTGTGTAATTTTGAGGCCCGTACCATCACCAACGATTAATTCGTCTGTGCCATCGTAAGGAGTGTGTAAGTAGAGATTGTTGAGGTATGTTGTGACGTGGTGAAAGGCACCACTATCAAGGAGCCATTGGGAGGTGGAGGAGTGGTTGGAGGAGGAATTATTTAAATTGATAGTGTTGTTGATGTTAAAAGAGATAAAAGGTTTGGTAGGAGTGAGGTTTATCACTGCCATGGGACAAAGGAAGCAAAAAGGTATAAGTTGGAAATGGATCGTTAGTCTGATACCATATAGAGAAGAGATTAGGAGAAGTTGTTGTATTATTGATTTACTCATAAAGATTTATACTGTTACAATGAGGCTTAAGCTATACAATTAAATCACAACAATTATGGAAGATAATATCATAAATAGCTTACAGCTAGAAGATTGAATAATATCCCTAAAATGAAGGCTAGAATATACAATCACATCACTATGATCAAGGAACATAAGTATGGAAGGTTTGACTTTGAGTATGTCAATCCTTATCACAGATAAGTTTAGTTAAGTTCAAATTAGTGAAAATCAGGTGAATAGAACACACCCTTAGTACTTCGTATGTTTAAATTTTCTACAAGTATTATTAACTTAATGGTCTAGCGGAGGTGATAGTGTCCCCCTAAAAAATCCATATTACCCATTATATAGTTAGTTTTAAAGAAGAAAAAAATTGTCAAGAAAAATACAACATTTGGCCGATCTTCTAAAAATAAAACAACTTTTTGATTATCTCAAAATAATACAATTTTGGGAGACGTGTTGCATTGTGATTGATACGATTTTTATTATAATTTTACAATTTACTTTTTTTTTAAAAAAATGATTTTAATTTTGTGAGGAGGGTAGCCCGTCGTTGGGGATCCCACTTCCTCTATGCCCATGACCCTTTAAAAACCTAGAACTTTACACTTTTGAAGGTGTGTTAGGATTTGAATTCCGTCTTGACTGTGTTGGGGGACCTTGAATTAGAATTGATTCTATCATTATGCTTTTTTGTAAGAAACTAATAAGGAGTCGCCAATGAGTTTTAGGAAAACTCATATATCTCGTTCATGTCTTTCTCTCAAGTAGAGTTCAAGGGATATTTAGCATGAATCATAAGTTTACCCATGCCCAAATTGGTTTACTTGTATTAGAAATGAGTTCGGGAGCGAAGGTACTAAAATAACGTTCCCTTTAGTGGGGAATTGCTATCTTAGCCCTAATGCGGCCTCTACTAGCTCTTCCTTTTTTCACAATTTCATCACCAAACAATATATTCAATGTGATACCTAAAAGTAAGTTAGTTGATTTTATTTACACACGTTAATCACATAAGTATTACATTACAACGAATGTCGTTATTCTTATTTAGTCCAAGTTTGTGAAAGAACAAAATAAACAAGATTCGCCTTGGCTTAAGTGATAAAACAATCAATTAATTTGTCCAATTTTAGTCTTTTTTAACGAAAGAATACTATAGGTTTAGGTTTTAGAGCCGCGGCGTCAGGTGGCGCGCGCAACTCTAATACTTGCGCGCGATGCGGTTTGCCTTATACAAAAATGCGTTTTTAAAACTTTTATAACTTTTGATTGCAAAGTTAGATTGAGGCAAATAATATATCATTGGAAATCTCTGAATTTCTATCTTCCAATGCCGTTGGAATTAGGTTAAAATCTGTTATGAATCAAAAGATATGGCCGTTTGAGTGCAACGGTGTCGATTTTAGGGCCCGGTTTAGTATTTTGATGATAGCTTCTTTGTTTTAACTAGGAATTGAGCTATACCGTTGGAAATCTCTTTGAAAGGGCTATCCAACTGTATAGGCCTTGAAAGAATATTGGGTGGTTAAATGTTCTGGTTGGCTCGATTTTCAACAATGTAAGATCCATTTGATCCAATCATTGCATTTGACGCATTTAGGTCCGTTATTAATCAAGATTAAACATTTATGAACACGTTTTAAGCCTAATTAGTAATCGGACTAGACTCTAAGATAATTTGATCTCAAATACAGGTTCTAACTTACTTCATAATGCATTTCAGAGTCCATAAACACTTCAACTTTGATCTAGCATGAAGAACAAGTTTTTATAACATCATCGCACTTCCCGTCGGGACATGAGGCCAAAAGTAGGTGTCTACAAATTTTAAATTTAAGTTTTGTGTTTATAAAATTATAACTAGAAATTGAAAAAAAATATCAAGAATAGTTGGAGCATGGGGGGGGGGGTTTCCATCGATTTTTACGTGTTTTGTTACAAAATCATCGTGTGTCACGACTGGACGTGGTGTGACAATTTGTCAACTTTTGCGTGTTTTGTTTTTATCTCAACTTTTTCATCCCAAACTTAAAATAAGACAAATCATATAACCAATTGGTGATTAAGACTATACTTGGTAGGGAGGATCTGGTGTTCGATTCCCCACAGGCCACAACAACAATTAGAAAGGGATTGAAACTTAACTACCTAGAACTGATCCCAGAATCCAAATTTTTGAATCACTTTGACCATGTCTAACATCCAAAACAAAATATAGTCGATATGGCCAAAATGTGGTCATACTACACAAGTTTTATACTAACAAATGACAATTTAATAAACAAATTTCATATCTTTATAATGTTAAATTCAACAATGCACACAAGCACACATTGTAATTTGTAAATTGTATAATAAACTAATAACTCAAGATATCATCCGAACCCGAAATTAGTTTTGTCATTAAATTACTTTAAAAAAAAAATGAAGTGTGGTGTCGATTTGAAAAATGTGATCGAGTAGAGTGGCATTGCCACTTAGCAACTAGATGAGATATGAATTACAAAATTACCCCTCAGATAATACCAAACCATTACCAGAAACAAGTCTCTCTTTCTCTCAGTAATGTAATCTTGTATACCCTAGAAAATCCCCCATTTTCTCTCTCCTCCCACAACTTCCAAGTTTTATTTCACTCAATTTTTGCACCAAACTCCATTTTTCTTCAAATTTCAGCTTACTTAGATTAGTTTCATTTGCTGTAGAATTTTTAATTTTTTTTTTAGTTTCTCAATTTATCGCGTGATATGTTGGTATTACTGCATTGATTAAAGGTGCGTTTGTTTAGCAATTTCTGTAATTTTTTGTATTGATTTTGGTTGAATTAGAGGTTAGTTGATATTATTTATATTTATATATACTATGGTATCAGTAATGAACAACGATTTCGATTTGGAGAGAAATACAGATGAAGGGGTTAGTGATTCGCATTTAAATTCGGAAATTAGGGTTTCTTCTGGGATAGATTTAGGTTCTCGGATTAGTGAGATTGATGAAAAAGGGGTTTTAGAGAGGCCTGAATGGGAAATGGATGAAGTTAGGGTTTTGGGCGGGGACACAGAAACGGATATGGATTCGAATACGGGTTATCGTTTAAATGGCGATTCTGGGAATTTAGTGGGGTATGATGGGGAGGAGGGTGATGGAGAAATTGAGGTTAAGGGTCAGGGAATGGTTTCTAGAGAGGGAGAAGACGAGGGTGGGGGGATTACTCGTAGTTTAAATGGTGTTGGGAATGTGGGTGTTCATGAAATGAAGCGGGAGGATGTTCTTGACGATGAGGATTCAGAGAGAGATAGTAAGGATGGTGAGTTTAGGTTAGAGAATCGTGGTGATTTGCAGGCTTCGGTGAGTAAAGATGTGAGTGTTAGTGATGGGGATGATGAAATGAGAAGTGGATTCGTTTTGGATTCCGGGTTTGAAATGGGTGATATGGTTTGGGGCAAGGTGAAGTCTCATCCGTGGTGGCCGGGCCATCTGTTTAATGAAGCTTTTGCTACTTCTTCAGTTCGACGAACAAGGAGGCATGGACATTTGTTGGTTGCATTCTTTGGTGATAGTAGTTATGGGTGGTTTGACACTACGGAACTTGTTCCGTATGACCCTCATTTTGCAGAAAAATTGCAGCAGACAGCTTCGAGGAATTTTGTTAGGGCTGTGGAGGAATCTATTGATGAGGCCAGTCGGAGGAGTGCTCTAGGTTTAAGTTGTTACTGTCGGAATCCAAATAACTTCCGTCCAGCAAATGTGCCTGGTTATGTGGCTGTTGATGTTGTAGATTATGAACCTGGTGCTATTTATTCACTGAGTCAAATTCGGAAGGCAAGAGACAGTTTCCGGCCGCTTGATGCTCTTTCGTTCATAAAGCAGTTGGCTGTGGCACCAATGAGTGGAGAAATTAAAAACCTTGATTTTATTAAAAACAAAGCTACCACCCTTGCGTATCGCAGATCTATATTTGAAGAGTTTGATGAGACTTATGCTCAAGCTTTTAGTCAGTCTCCAGTACGAACTTCCCAGTTGCCAGCATTGGATAAAGTGCCATCTCGAGGTATTAGTTGCCTTCAGCCTTCTTTCTTGTGAAGTAATTTCTGAGTTTTATTTTACCAAAGTTGAAATGATATCTTTCTGAAGGTGAAGTAGGGATTTTAGTATCATGCATTAGCTTGTAAATCTAACTTTCTGATAAATGTGTGTGTAATTTTATAATATGATGCGGACTTTTTCAGTATCCTTTATAGTAAACAATTAAAAGAAGTGATATCAATGTGTTCTTGGTGTTGTCTGAGAATGTTTGCTGGTTGGCTTGACACTTTGGGGTCAGTTTTTTTGGTGTGTTTGTAACTATTTACTGTATGAGTGGTGAACCCCCTCACCCCCTCAATGCTTGCCAAATGGCGGTTGTTATGACTGGCCTCCAGTAAATTTGTTTTTATTATATTACATTGAATACAGAAGAAGCTCCTAAATTGCTTTAGAATGACCTTCAACAATGCTGGGAAATTTATCTGTGTCATAAAGTGCATGCTGGCGTTACTCAAGCATTATGTGTGGAACTATTTATGGACATATAGCCTTTAATATTCATGTCTATTGATGATCTGTTCAGTTGTTCTTGGTGCTTTTCTGACCTGAATTCAAGGGGCTACCTTGTTCATATTTTAATTATAATTTTGCGTTCTATTGTTTGTTGCTTTCTTGCTGAAAGATTTTTGAATCACTTTGACCATGTCTAACTTGGATGAGGGGTTTCTTGCACCATAAGAATTTGTATCATTAGATTTTTGCCATTTATGTTCTTATCCTTTGATGAACTTTGCAAAAAGATAGTTCATGTGGCAAATGATGAGAGTGAGTCTGCAGATCAGCAGATATTTGTGCTTTTGCTAGAAGATGACACCTTTTCATTGTTTTAGTCTTGAGAGTCAATTAAGTGCCAATGTCAAATGATTTATTTTCCTGTCTGTTATTGAGCTAGTTTGTAGCAATTGATAGCATTTGAATGCCCTATATGCTGGGACTAGAACCCCTCCAAAGTCTTGTTCTGTCTCCGTTGACCTTTTTGTTACCTACTTTTATCATTTTATGTACTGGCATTTGATTTTTTGTTACCTATCAGTGTGCTTTGCAGGCTGATACTGCAAATGAGTGGTAGCACTGCAAAAAATTGACACCTTTAATGAATTACAAACTTTACATCTTAGTTTTACCTTTTTGTAACTGTGATTTGACTTGTAGAATGCTGATGCCTTTTGTATTATTATGACAGTCCAATTAGAAATAATGTAATTGCATATGCTTTTGTGAGTCATTTAGTTCCCTTTCACCCCCCTACCCCACAAAAAGGATATTAGCATTGTTTGCTGAGTTTCGAATTTTTGATGTCGAAATCTCCTAAGATTTGTAAACAATTGGTATTTCCTCGCTTTTGAATCACTTCTTTCAGGTAAGGTATACCTCTTCAAAGAAAATTTTGATTATGAGAACTTCCTGTTTTTGGGCACACTCAATTTATGAAAGGTTAATAGTATTGGCCTTACCTTTTCAGCGCGAATCATATTTGACTTTTAGATAAATGGAGCATCTTTACTTAGTTTAACCTGGCATGTCTACCTGAACCTTCTATTGTAAAATCGACACCTAGAAAGAGGAGATATGGAAGTAGGCACTCCTGCCTAGTTATTGATGTACTACCCTTTATTCAACCTAGAATTTTTCTTGCATTTAGCATGCTACATAGCTGAAAGCAATAAGGAAGATGACATTGAGTCGCTGAGAGTTTGGATGACCCAAGATACAGATCTAACATCTTTTTTGTGGTTAAGTCAGCTCACAATTTGTGGTAATTAAGCTACAGTATTGAAATCGAGTTTTATGTCAACCTATTTTAACATTTAAACAAAACCTTTTAGTACCTCACCAAGATGTTTGTATTCAGCCAAATCTCTCTCTCTCTCTCTCCCCCCCCCCCCCCCAAAAAAAAAAAAAAAAAAAAAAAGGGTTTGGCTTTTGCAATGATAATTGAGCTTTATGTCAACCTATTTAACAGTTAAACAAAACTTGTTACTACCTCACCAAGATGTTTGTATTCAGTCAAACCCCCCCCCCCCAAAAAAAAAAAAAAAAAAAAAAGAAATGGTTTGGCTTTTGCAATGATAAATGTCTGAAAAACAACCTTTAGATTTGCTGATTTGATTGATAACAACGAACACTCTTTACTCTGTTATATTTGAAGGTTGTAATGTACTTTAAAAATAGGTTTGATCTGTTTATGGTGATCTGGTGGATGTTAGGTGTCATTTTCCACTCGACACTATCATGTACTTTATACTTTGTGGAAGAGTTGGGGGTTTGTGGATGGTGAATTTTCAGATATCAGTGATTTTTTTATTATTTTTTTTCATTTTATCTATAAATACCTTTATACTAGCTTGGTTCAAGTCTGATATCCTTTGTGGTACAGCTAAGATGATGGAAGGCTAATATTGTGTTTGGTACAGCTAACATGATGCAAGTCTGAAATCCTTTGTGGTACAACTGAAGTGATGCAAGTGAAGGGGAGAATATTGTGTGGAAGGATTTATGAGTGGAAGAACTATAATTAGATAAATTCTGAAACTACTCATTAGATTTTGCTGAGGTTGCCTGATATGAGATTTAACATAAATTTTTGCTTTAAGAAGTTATAAGTTCAATCTTTCTTGCTTTTAATTTTTCTACTAGACTACTGGCAATCACTGCTCATTTCTTTCAAGAATGTCTTACCTGTCTCTGTCGATGTTTATGAGGGATTAATCTTATACTTTCATATGTTCCTGTAAGGAAATATGTCCATATGTATGACTTAGTAATCTCTATTTATAGTTGACTTAGTAATCTCTATTTATAGTTGAATCTTTTATCGATCTCTAGAGACATTCTGCTTCTGTTTGTTAGCTATGTTAATATCTGTTGAATTGTTGACTTAATCTGTTGGAGCTGATGTTTGGTCTTGTGTATTGTCCAGCTCCTTTAAGTGGCCCATTAGTCATGGCGGATACTCTTGGTAGTCGGAAGAGCTCCACTAAAGCTTTTAAAACAAAGGAGCTGTCCAAAAAGGATAGATACCTGTTTAAGCGTAGAGATGAAGCTGGCGATTTGAGGAAAGTTAAGACTGTTCAAGGTCATGCAAGCTCCTCTTCATCTTCTGCATGTGAGGATGGAGCATCTGATTCAGCTGCAGCTGCTTTTGTGCTCCAGAAAAGGGATTTGCCTGTGTCAGATGACGCTTTGGCTCATGCTGGAACCACAAAAGATGCTTCAACTGCAGGCAATGAACTCATTTTTAAATCTTTTCTTACAGGGAAATGGATGATATTGTTGCTGTGTCATTTTAACATTTGATATTCTGTTCTACAGGTATTGGTGTGATGGTGCCATCTGCGTCACAAGAATTGGAATCTAGTGGTGTGGTGGTAGCTGATTCAGGCAGTCTGCATGTTAAGGTTCCAGACAGTCACATCAGTAGCCCTACTTCTATTGATGTTAACCAACTTGCTGTGAGAGATGGCATGATAAAGAAGAAGAAAAAAACTGCTAAATGCCCTGTAGGCGAAATGATCTCTGAGAAATCTGATCGTCCAGAGAAGAAGATGAAGAAAGTGAGGAAAATAGATGGTCAAAGGAGCATAGAGCATGTGAAGAAGGATTTGGTTTTGTCTGCTGGGATGCCTACTGAGATTGCTGCCTTGTCCAGAGAGGACTCTCAAGTAAGTCAGAGAAGGAAGGACAATGATGCAATTAATTCTGTTCCGTCACAAGTGGGGTTTGCGTCATCGGAAGAAGCTAGAGGCAATGAGGCTGATCTTGCACAGTTGTTGGCTGATTTGCGAGGTCTTGCCCTGAACCCTGTCCATGGTATGGAAAGAAATGGGCCTGCAATTACACGACAGTTTTTCCTGAAGTTTCGCTCCTCTGTTTTTCTGAAGAGCTCCAGTGCTTCAGCTGCTGCCGAATCTGAACTCAGGGAGGGTCGGGACATCAAATCTACCCCTGCATCTGAATCTACTGAGAAACCTTCAGTTGAGAACAGTAAAGCTGCATCTTCTGTAAAACTGCAGAAGCTCTCTACCAGACATGAGGATCCCGGGAAAGGGCGGAAACGGAGGCCATCTGAGCGTCAGGAGGAAAAAGCTGCAAAGAAGGCTAAGAAAATAACTGAAGCAAAATCCTCTAGTTCTGTAAAGCGAACCCTGCTAAAGAACCCAGAGATGCTGCAGCGAGCTGAGGGAAAAGCTAAGGCAGCTGCCACACAAAGCCCGCAAGTAAAACCCATAAAGTCAGAACAGCGTCAAAAGAAATTGGACCGGCCTCCAAAGGTGGTGGATCCCCATTATCTCATTATGAAATACCCATCTGGCTCCTCACTCCCTTCCCTGGTAGAGCTGAAGGCAAGATTTGCCCGATTCGGCCCAATGGACACATCACTCAGCCGGGTCTTCTACAAAACAAACACCTGTCGTGTTGCTTTCCTCTATGAAGAACATGCACAAATTGCTCAACGCTATGCTACAGGAAGCAAATCTGTGTTTGCAAACGTGAAGCTCATAGTGAAGCCTGTGGCAGCAGCTGAACCTCAGCAGCCAAGCAGCAGCAGGGTTGAAGACTTGCAGAATGAATCTGCAGCAAACCGGGATTCATCAACAATAGAGTCAAAACCTGTAATCACCACTGCAACCCCACAGCAGCCGGTGCAGCAGCTGAAGTCCTGCTTGAAGAAACCTTCTGGAGGCGATGAGACTGGTGTGCCCAACAATGGTGGAAGCAGTGCAAGAACAACCCGGGTGAGATTCAACATGGGTGAGGTCAAAGGTAGTACTGATAATAGGGGAGGTCTTGAAGGCCAAAAGATGGAGTCTAGGAATTCGATGTTGTCATCTTATGAAGGTTCTTCATCGTCGTCTATTGCTATGGATGTTAGTAACAATCAAAGGTTCACAGTTTCTTCACATCCATTGCAACCCCCTCTCCTTCCCCATCCTCCCCATTTTATTAGGCCTCCGATAAATCACCTACATGATACAGTTGAATTATCTCCGAGAAATAATTTGCATGATAATCCGAGGGTAGTTCCTCCACAAACTTCTGTTGAAAATCAAGTACCACCACAGGGTCCACAGCCCACCAGAGACATCTCACAGCAGATGATGAACCTCTTGACAAGGTGCCATGATGTGGTGACCAACGTTAAGAGCATGTTAGGCTATGTGCCGTACCATCCTCTATGAGAAAATGAAGGTGCATATATGTTGAAATACGTTGGACCACCACATCATCAAGGGCCCACCTTTCCATCTGGAGGACTGATACTCGCCGGAATATGTTGCATTGTAAAGGACAGACATTTCAGCTCCAGTGAGAGGCCAGTGGGTGCGAAATGGGCTGCCTAGGAAACCCTGTTATTAGAGCAAATAGCTGCAACGGCACAATTGTTTGTACAAAATTGTTGCTTGGGTGGTTAGTCGTTAGGGGTTTTGTTTTGGGTAGGAGGGGAGGGGTTCTAGGAGGACCATGGGGTCAAGGGGACTTGATATCACCTGAATTGTACTCGAGAGCTTGAATATTTGTGTAGCTCGTGGTACGGGAACATATAATGTGTACCTGATTCGAGGCTGTGGATCACTCTCTCCCTCCCTCTCCCTCCCTCTCCCTTTTCATCACATGGCTGCATGTTTGTGCTTTCGGTCTTTAAAATTTTTGGGTTAATTGAGTTTAAACTTGCATGTTCTGCAAAATATTTTGGTCCATTCTGTGCGCAGCCTCATGGAGTGAGAGTAAGCATAGACCCATCACAAAAATATTATGCTCTTCAGACCCGTTGCATAAGAAGTAAGAACAAGCAACAGAAGTAAACTTAGACCCTCACAAAATAATTTTACCTTGTAGACCGTTTCGTAAGTAAGAACAGGCAACAGATTACTCCGTACTAAATATTGCTGAATATTGTTGATTATAAGTATCCGTAAGCTTGGGTTCGTGGTTAATTTGCGTTAGAATTGACCTGACGATTAAGTTTCCATCAATTGGTTTTAGTCTGAAAGATTACTTATGCGAATTCAAATATTCAATTAGCATTAATATGTGGTGTTTGCTTTAAATTTGATCTTCAAAGAATATTTTCTTGGGCAAACCCATGTAACATATGTTTGACAAAGTTGCGCATAAACTACTACTGAGTAGTACTATAAAGAGCGCAACACAACAAATTATATGAAACACAAATAAAGAAACATATGATATATATCCAAAATTTCTTGTCTAGTTATTGGAGAATATCTTGATCTGTTACTTTTTATCTCTCCTTTCCATATAATTACTTAATTAGCAATAAGCTAGGAATTTTAGGTATAAAGAAAGTAACGCGTTTTTCTTATTCCTTAATATGGTACTCCATAGTATCAATGCCAAATTGTCACGAGTAATTTGTAACACGCCAATTTTATCCTTAAAGGCATGAAATCTCTTTTAAAAGGAATCACACTAACAATGGCTCCAATTCATTTGGAACCCTCTAAAGTAGCCTTTCTACTTAAACTTTGTTATTACAAAATTCTCAACCACTTTCCTAGATGTTTTTCCATCTTAAATTGCCATAATTTCCTCTCATCCAACCATTATCTCCTTTATACAATCATCTTACTCTTTCAATTTCTCTCTCCTCAAAGTCTATTTGATTTTCCCCCAATAACTCCTCCTCAAACCCCACATTAGGGGGAAGAAAATCTCATTTTGAAGAAAAATACTAATATTAATAATAACAATGGAGCATCGACCAATTGAGGTGAAGTTACTCAATGCAAAGGATTTAAAGGATGTAAATATATTTTCTAAGATGGATGTCTACGTAATCGGTTCTGTTTCCGGAGACCCACGATCCATATAGCGAACCACGGTTGACAAAGATGGTGGGACAAACCCGAAATGGAACCATGAAATGAAATTTACATTTGATGAGGCGGCCGCTCGAATGAACCGGCTTGGGTTGGTTTTTCAAATTATGTCCGACCGGACCCTTGGGGATAAGGAAGTGGGTCGGGTATATGTACCTCTAAAGGAGCTATTTGATACATTTAGTTCCGAAGTTGAAGATGAGAGATCCGATAATGAGATTATCGATCAAGAAAAGAATGTGTTATACCAAGTCCAAACCCCCACGGGTAAATTTAAGAGTAAATTTAAGGGTAAATTGGAGTTTTCATTTAAATTTGGTAAAAATTATAGTCAAAGTGTCGAACGAAAATTGGATGATCCGGTCATAGCATATCCTGCGGTGGGTCCAAGTCCTGGGGTGATGGGTACAAGTATTGTACAAGGATATGGCACTTCCCCAAACTCTGGACCCACATCAAAATCTGAACCTACTTCTATATATCCAAGCCCAAATATAGGTGGGGCCAATTGTCATGGTGCACCTCAACCTGGATATCCGCCACAAGGTTACGGGCATGGGTATGGATATAGATGCGGATATGGATATCAACCCCAATATACCCCTCAACCATTCCCTAATCCTCATGTGGGATATGGGTACGGGTTTCCGGGAGGGTATGGTTACGCAGGACAAGCACTGACGGGTTATATGCAAAAACCGAAAAAGAGCAAATTCGGGCTAGGGGCTGCGGCGGGTATTGGGGCCGGGTTGTTGGGTGGGTTGTTGGTTGATGATGTTGCTGATTCACTAGCCTATGATGACTCATTTGATTATTAGCTGTTTTATTCAAATGGAGATTTTATAAAATAGTGGTATGGGGGAAGTTAGTTAATGTTGACTATATTTTTATTTTTTTGATGGTTGACATGACAATTATTAATGATTAAAAACAAAAACTGAGTATCTCCCAACAGTCCCAAGTTAAATATATTTCAGAATATTAAGAAACAACTCCAACCAGACAAGATACATTTTCACTTGCATGACTCAATTACAGATATATGTTGGAAATGGAAATACCTTTTGTAATGACATTAATTTTGGTAATTTATTGCCTCTGAAAAAAATAGCTGAAAATTTCAAGGACTTTATTTTTCATTGATATGAGACATGTATTCTTTTTATTTTTTTTATTTTTTTGTTGCAATACGCCAATATTTGCAAATCAACGGTACAAAACCTGGAAAAAAAAACAGAAAAAACAAAAAAAAAAAAAAAAATACTAAAGGAAATATAACAAACAAAACAAACTACGGTATAAGGAACTACATATGGCATAACCATACCCTTAACATCCTCATCGAAAATCCCACCTAGTTCTAGTGGAAAATGTAATTTTCATAACTATTGATTAACAAACATTGAAACTACATTCTTTTTTTCTCCAAGATATAGAGAACATCTAGGTCATGATGACCTGAATTTCGAAGCTAAACCAAAAAAATTGGTTACTAATTCTATCGTTTAACCAAAATTTCGGTTTAAGTTCAAAGTTATGTTTGAGATATACTAATTTAGTACTATGTACAGCCTAAATCAATATAGCCTTAAACAACCGAGTTAACCAAGATATATGCGTAGTAAATTACTAACTGCTAATGTAACGCAATTTCACTCATCCCTGCAGGCTACAACAAGAGGGTCATACAACATATAATTCCAGTATACAGAACTGAAAAAAGAACATTAGTATGATTAAAGGAGGATTTCATGAGAATGCTTAAATATCAAGGTGTGATATCGTCGATCCACATCCATTCTAGCCTTTGTCTTGCAATTAATCTTACATAACACGTTCATATGTTAGGGTGCATAGCATCTGTGCATAAAAATACTCATTAACCTGTTTTTTAGCCTAAGAAGAATTTGTGGGGCGAACTTGCAGCAATATTATCTCCTTGATCTTTCTCCCTTCACCAAGAATAACTTCGAATTCACACTCGTCTCCCTTATCTATGTCGCTGTTGATCTGAAATTCTCTCCATCCATGACTGAGCGCAAAACGGTCAACCCTCTTCCAGAACTTCACTTCCAGTGAATACCCTCTCTGATTCCGTAGAAGAATCGTTCCTGAATGATTCGGTTTGGGGGCTACTATGTTATAAGTCTTGAAGATACCTGCAGGAATGAACTGCACACAGGAATAACTTACAAAGTTACATTTCAGATTTTAACAATTAGTTCCCTAATAACTATAGTCTAACAATTACAGATGATCTATGTCAAAACAGCCTGATCTAATGAAAACTTGCTTTCGGACAATAATGCTTCTTAGAAGAGTGTTCAATTTATCTTAGAAAAGTGATGTCAAGAAAAAAAAAACGGAAAACAAAAATAGGCCAATGCAAAAGTGGTGTAATGTAATTAGGGTGCCAACAAGCTGATCTGAGCTTGTAGTAGCTAGCTTGGCTCATACCAACTCAAACATAAATTGAGCTTAAGCTTAGAAATTTTAGGCTTAACCCGCCTCAATTCTTAACAACTCAAGATCAGGAAACACGGGCTCCTAATTTTGATATCTTTCCGGTATAGTATTCATATATCTATAAGTTTGCTAAAGCTTTAAGATTTTTTATATATAATTTGTAAGAAATTCTAAAGCATACTTACATGATAAATTTTGTTGCTGGACAATGAGATATACTGATGTAAAATTTCAGACAGAACAGTAAAGTAACATGATCAGAAAAAGGCAGTATAATACCAGCACATAGTAAGAAAAGTTACCAAATCATAAAGGCATCCTTCATAAACTCTTCTGAATCGTATATTGTTCAATGGAATGGTTCTTCTCCGAACATTCGTTGTTACTTCACGCGAATATGCAGACATGACAAATCAGGAATAGTATGATTAATATAATGAGGAGTTTGAAAAAAAGTTAGGCTTGTTCAAAGAGCTAACCTTGAGACTTTGTCTTCGTGCCTCTTGCATCCACATGAGGCTGACCATTGGTGGCAGTAGCTTCTTCCTTCTTGCATCCATTGACACCGAATATTTCAACAGTGAATGTGGCATTACCATTGTAGCTAAAGGTCAAGAAATCTCCTCGCGTTAATGAGTTTTCTATCACAGTCTTCCCAACCCTTTTTCAGAAGCAATTTGCATCCAGCCTGTTCCAACTCCATTTTCCAAGTTTTTCCTTGTAGGTTTCTCAAGTTGACATTCTTGTCAATCTTCCCACTAAAATTCCTTACAAAATCGCGAGGTATCACCTGCAAGATATGAGAAAAAGTCTTCACACTGAAATCTTATAGGATTCAAACAAGATTTTTCTGAGCACAAGCTTTGACTCAAGTGTTCTGCAAGTCCAGTTTTTAGCAGCAGTAAGTAGCTTATATACTTATATTCTCAACAACTTTGCATATGCACGTCATAGTTCCTCTTTTTTCGCTTAATCAAGGAGAGGAAGCTACAACACAACCAAAAAGCAGAGAAGAAACACAGTCGTTTACTTCTAGTAATCATGTCTTGCTTTCTCAGTTTTAAAATTACATCACAAAGTATTTTCACACCTAAGGAAGCCTCTAGTCTACTTCAAGCGGTTAGGATCAGACAAATTAAGTAGCACAAGAAAAGGTCAATATTCAGGCACCAATATCACAAAATTCTAACAGAATGTACTAAGCTCTATGGACATTGTGAACAATTATAATGCCAATTTTTTTTCTTCTCAACTTCTAACAACAAATAACACCTAGATAATGAAAAAAAGTCGATTCCTTAAAGTCGTGGTGATATAATATTTTCTTGTAAGCTGCCAAATTTCATACATAAATCCGGCCTAGATATAGCAGATAGCTA